CGTTATCTAACAGGTTAAAAAATAATCTAATGAGGGCCACAAGATAAGGGAAACAGGGGAAACAGATGAAAAAGTGAAAGTTAGCAAACCCCTTCTTTATGTCTCTTTATTGCTGCCTGTATTTCGATTGAAATCATTGGCAAATTTGGTCTGGTTTTAGGGGTCTACTTAAGTCTTTTTTGCAGTAATTCTTCTTTTTTATCAAAAGTCACAGAAGTAATGTTCGTAAGCTTCTGATGAAATTTATGTATTTCCGCTTTGTTGTCAATTTCTTCCATTTGAATCTTGTGTTTATTTTCCCGTAGTTTGTGAAGTTTCTTGGATTTTTTTGTCGTATCTGGTCTAGTAGTAATGTGTCATGTGATTTGGCTTCTTCTATAATCGTTTCGATGGTGATGTGGTGAAAATGGTAGTTTAGTTGTTGGCAGTTCTTGTATAGTTTCATGTTTAGTTCATTCAGTTTTTTGTAGTGGCCGTTTAATGTTCTTCACATATATTGTATCTTAACCATCTCGATTTGGTTCCTCGTAAGATGTTGAGGGTATTTCTTGTTAGTAATGTTTGGAAAAATTCCTTCTTTTAGGCATATTTTCAAAAACCTTATGTATTGGAGTTGCAGTTTTAATAATATTTGTTGGCAAAGTTTTATAAAACACAGGATTTGGTGTTAAGTATGCATTCGTTCTTTTAGTTACCATCACATTGTAAGCTAAGAGCATTCGTTTCTTTAATTTTCATTTTAATGTCTCCATCAACTTTTTCATGCTCGGAGTCCAGTAATTTATTTGATAATAAATACCGTGTAGGCATTTTGAAAGATGGTCTTAAATGTTTGAAAAATGATTGCCAGTGATTATTTTCAACAATGGCAAATGGAGTACCTGTAGCATAAACAGCCCTAGCTGATAGTTTTCTAACTTCTCCTGTTCAACTTTTGATGAAACATCAATTAAAGCATCGAGTGTGGAACTCGATGAAGGTTTGTTAACTTCTGATTCTGATGTCGTCTTAAATTTAAAAATAAAATCATCGTCATCTAAATATAAAATTTAAGAAAATAATTTCAATATTCATAGCTGCCAGCTAGTTTTCTATCGCCTGTCGCAAATATTTTCTAAGCTTATCATTGAAGAAGTAGTAGCAGTAGTTGAAAAGAAAGTAGAAGAAATCTTCTCCTTTTGCTCGTTGTCAAACATTTGTTTCACGCCTACTCACAGTGTTAGGAAGTTATGAATATCTGGCCAAAAATCTAATTATTAATATTTTTAATTGTACATAAAAAAATATGTTGACTATTAAAAAACAATTAAAAGGTGTAATAAACACTGTAGCTTTCCATTTAAAATAACGAGGTTATGGTCTACTTCCGGTAGACCGGAAGTAGCAGCCATCTTGAAAATATTTTAGATCTAAAGTTCCGAATGAACAACCCATGCTACCAAAATTTCAAAACTGTACAAATAGTGGGCTCTAAAAAAGTTCTAGCGAACCAGTAACGTGAGACACCTATATATAACACCCCCCCTGTATACACTGTGTACATAAAGTATGAAATCAATTCGATAAAAATTTGAGGGATATTAAATTTTTAAATTTGTGTCCAAAAATTGAGATACCATATGTTGACATTTTAAAATAGGAACCTCAATTTTTTTGTTGCATTTATGGCTTCTACGTAACTTCTGAGTATTTTTCATGTAGCTGTCTTCGAAAAAATAGTAGTTAAAAATTACTATTACTTTTTATTTGCAATAATAGAGTAAACTACGCTATTCTCTGTTTCTGTGTTAATTTGTGACAAATGTTTAATAATGTAATGATAACCATAAATTATGTTTTAACCCATAAGCAAATTTAGTATTTTAAGATACCGTTTTAAAATTTTTTTTATACCTACTTTTATTTTTCCTCGTCCTCAGATTGTTTTATAATTTCAATATTAGTTGCAATTGACGATAAAAAAATATTTCTTTCCTCATCATTTTCAAAGCAGAGAAGGCTTATAAGTTCTTCAGAAAAATCTGTATTATTCCTTGATTTCTTGCTATGAAATGATGTTATAATTGGGTCTGAAGATATTAATAGTCTGTTTAAAATGTCTCTATTATTGTGTATTCTTGACATTTTTCTGGAAAAGTTCTCTCTATACCTTCTAAGGTCTTTATTCCGAGTTTCTTGCACATCTTCTGAAAGCAGGTCAATCTGGATACTTAACGATTTTATTATTAAGTGGCCATGCACAAGAATTTTATGCACTGCCACAGGCATATAATACCAATTATATAATTGTATTATAATAGAATTGTGTCGTTTGCAAAATTTTTAAATGCAGCAGTGTTCATTTCTTGATAATAATTTTTGTGAAATAGGCATCTGGTTTGGCATTTTAACGCGTCATTGATTTTGTTTTTTATTACTGTGTGTTGGATAGGTATTTTTTAACTAAAAAAACACTTCGGATTTGTTTGGGAAGAAGGTTACAACATGATATCTGAATTGTGACTCTTTTTTAAAGATGCACGGTTAAGCTCGAAAGCTTCTTGTTCTAGATCTAATAATAGAGTTAATACTATTATTAATTCACAAAAAAATAGTTATTCTGAAAAATTGTAAACGATTGATAGTTTCAAAACTAACTTTCAGTATTCACTGTCGAATATCCGTAGACACCACCCTGTATATTAGCCATTTTACATACACAACACATACAGTATAATATTATAGTGAAATATCTCATAAGAGTACAACTTTTAATATATTTACAATCGTTTCTTAATATTAATCAAATGTTTTTGGAAATTAATATGCAAAATAAGTGTTAACTTTACATGTCATTTTTATCCAGAGTTGAAGTTAATAAAAAGTTAAACCAATTATCCATGTTGCAAGTGAAAAGTATAAAAAAATCAAAAACAGATAAAAACTTCTAACTTGCTTTCAGAATTTATTTAATGTGTAATGTTTAATGTGTAATATATTTAATGTTACACATTAAATGAATTCTGATTTTTCTCCAATTTTTGATGACCATCAGTCTCTAAATGTAAGTTTTGCAAAGCTTTTTCATATCATTTTATATTAATTTATATATGTTTTTAGTATTTCACAATTTTATAACAATCCACGTTTCACACTTTTGTAACTTTAACTGAGAATTTAATTTTCAACGTTTAATTTAATTTAACTTTTATAACAATTTAAATTTAACTTTTTCGATTCGACTTAAAAAAATTTTTTTCAAAACTTTTTCAATTTTTATAAAAAACTTAAATTTCTTACGTACATCTTCTTTAACAACAAATGTCATCATTAAATCAATCTCTTCTCGCCTATTAGTTTCTCTGACAGTAAGTTGTTGTTCTATTTTAATATTAGTATATATTTTGAATTATTTTTTAATTCTTATTAACTTTCGGCTGATGATGGAACGTTGATTCCGAAACCGGTTCCGATTTATATATTACAATAAAGCAAGTTAGAAGTTTTTATCCTAACGAACCCCATTTGCCAAAATATTAAAAAAGAAAATTAGTAAAATCATGTTATGGAAGGTAATTTCAAACTTGCTAATGCTGTGCTACTGGGCGTTTTAAACATTTTAATGAATGTTCTTGTAAATTCTTACAAGAATATTCTTCTTTCATCTCTAAGTTCTCGGTTACTACTAGTGTTAGTTCTAGTATTGCACTAGCTTTATCACTAGAACTAACACAAGGCCTAGAACTAGAATCATTCGGGTTTAGCCGTTTTGAGAGACGTGCGGCTAAACTCGAATGTCCCTAGTTCTAGGTCTAGTGTTAGTTCTAGTTACAGTGGTAGGTAGTGCTAGTTAGTATAAGATATCACTATGTTGCATTTTTATTGCACTACAACTAGAACTAACACAAGACCTAGAACTAGAATCATTCGGGTTTAGCCATCTTCAGAAACGTGCAGCTAAACCCGATACTTTCTAGTTCTAGTATTACTTTTACACTAGAACTAACACAAGATCTAGAAGTAGAATTATTCGGGTTTAGCCGTCTTGAGAGACGTGCGGCTAGTATTATTTTTATTGAACGAAAAGTAGAACTAACACTAGACCTAGATCCATAAACATTCGGGTTTAGCTTTGTGTCTCTTAAGACAGAAACTCAGAGTTATAGCATAAAGACGTCTCCTATTGCAAGCAAAACTTTTTCTTTGCAAAACTACCCAATGCTTGTACTATTAAGCTACGTTGCATTTTATGTGGGACAGTGCAAGTGCATAGTAGTTTCCTAACTATGGTTATTGCATCCATATATTGCGAGTTATTTGAAATTCCCTGTATATCTATTACTTCTAAAAAGTATTTATTACCTTTAAATTTATTTGCGGGCTAATTTAATCTGTGTAAAGATTTATAAACTGTGATGGGGGTTCAGGTACTTAAAGATTTTTCCATAAAAAGTGATCAAAAATCCATTTAAACGAGCTTAAACACGATTAATTTACCTTGGATTAAGTGAGGTTTGGTGAAACATAATCTCACTTTTCATATAAATGTCATAAAACAAGGATTTTTTAAATGAAGATTTTCTTTTATGATAAATTACTCGTGTTTTGATTCCTTTAAAATATTTGATTACGATTTTTTTACTATTAATCTAAATGAAATAATGATAAGAATATTGGAGGAAGTATAATTTAATAACTTCATTCATTTTCATGAAACCATTCATTAATCATTAGAGCTTTTTTCTTTCTTATTTAAATTTATTTTTAATAAGTTATTTTAACACTTTGTGTGTATATCGCTGTCCCAGATAATAGGCCCACTCATTGTGTGCCGTTTACCTCGGACATCTTAATAAATAAAACTTATTACGTTTAAAGCAATAAAAAGTAAGTAGAATTGTTAGCTTTACTAACTTTTCCACCTAAAATAATAATAGTAAGTTGCATGATCTTCAAAATCTTAATATAATAATCTTAAAAATCTTTCTCTTCTAATCCTAACCGAAAATTTCTTTTTTATTATTTAATTCAAAACTGATTTTAATATATTTTAGCTACAGTCGTCCTTACGATGCAACAGATTCGTCAATACTCGACGATACACAAGCTCAAAGATTAACCCCGGCGAAATTTGCAACAGCTCACACAAAAGCTTCAATATCGTCAGGAAAATGTATCAGAATCTTACCGCATTACCCTCTAGATGGACAAAACGCTGTGGTAGAATTCATAAATATGCAAAAATTATTGATAAACGACGACGAAATGGAAGAATTAGTTACTTTTCCGGGACCGTTAATAAAAGGGGTTACTCCAAAGAAAACCGTTATCGAATATTGCGAGAATAAAATAAGAAAAGCTTCGTTTGATGATGGATTAATAGATGTGGATTCGTACGTTTTGTTGTGGGAGTTGATGATATTGTTGATTAGACAAAATGGGGTAAGTGAAAAATTAATTTGGTTGCATCGCAATCATAATTAAAATATTTATTTTAGATGGTTGTTGGTACAGATATTGCAGAACTTTTAATGAAAAATAAACGTATCATTGATTTTCGGCCACCTTCAGCACATTCTGAACCGATTCTTGGAAACGATGGGAGCATATCCGATACCGGAAATAGCAGCATCACAACCGAACAAATTTACAATTTCTCTTCATCAAAAACCGAAGAAGCAATTACAAGTAAATTCCGTGAATATTTGATGTACGGTTCTGGAAAAGAAGCTTTAGAATGGGCTATGAACCATGGATTATGGGGTCACGCCCTATTTTTAGCAAGCAAATTAGATAAACGAACCTACGCTAACGTTATGATGCGATTCGCGAACGGTTTAACGATGAACGATCCGCTTCAAACTTTATATCAATTATTATCTGGTCGACTTCCGGCTTCCGTTACTTGCGTAGCGGACGAGAAGTGGGGCGATTGGAGGCCGCATTTAGCAATGATCTTGTCGAATACGACATCGCACCCCGATTTAGATAGAAAAGCCATAACGACGATGGCGGATACTTTGATGAATAGGGGCAGTTTGTACGCAGCGCAATTTTGTTATTTAATGGCGGAAGTTGGGTTTAGTAGACATGGTACTGAAGGTGCTAAATTAGTTTTGTTGGGTTCGAATCATCATAAACCCCATATGCAATTTGCAACGAACGAAGCTATTCATTTAACGGAAGTTTACGAATACGCTTGTAGTTTGAATGATCCAGATTTTTTGATACTTGAATTTCAGGTTGGATTAAAAATGTTTTAATAAAATTTAAATAACTTTTTTTAATTTTAGGTGTACAAATTTACGGTTGCAACTCGTTTAGCAGATCGGGGTCTTTTAGAGAAAGCCCTTTCTTATTTAGAACGCGTTGCAATGGCCATTATTCGTCACACTACCGCTATTCAACCGTATTTAATAGACAAAGTGAGTGATTTAGCGGATCGTTTAAAACATGTCGATCCCATGGGGGATGCTGACGACGTTGCTGGGTCAGTTACAAGCTGGTTAAAGGAATTGAAAAGTGTTCAACAAGATTATAATGTAAAAAAATAGTGATTGAGTCGATTTAAAAATAATTTTTTTAATTTATAGAGTGGTTTATTATATCAAGATAGCAACAATAGTCGATTGCCATCAGATTATGATTTAACCCATTCGGTTAACGCGTATGAACAAGAACAATCTCAACCGGAAGTTTGGCAACAACAAGTTCAAGGGGATCAATTTCAGCAAGGTTCTGGGCAATGGTCTACGGATCAAAGTTATGATCGTAGACAGGAAGTTCAACAAGATCATCAACAACAACAAGAAGGTAATTAATATTAATTAAATTACACTGTTGGAAATAATTCACGAGCACACCTGTATAGTCTAAACGCGAAAAGATAATCCATAATACTTCCGGAGCATAAAGGTTCACTGTAAATGAGTTTATTCAGCGAGTTGCGAGTTTTTCTGTCGCGGCGTTGTTGACTGAGCATTGAGACCGAAGTGAGCTGTAGTGTGAGGGACCAGTTTGTTGTCATACTTTGTGCGATCATCTCAGAAACTATAAGAGATACAAAAAAGTAGGTGCCATGTCCCGGCCTCTTTTTTCGAGACTAATACAATCCCGCAACCACACAACCTCTATCTTCTTTTATTTTTAAGTTATAGCCAAAAAGTCAAATTTTCGTGATTTCAAAAAATGCTCATATTTCGTTTATTTTTCAAGTTAGAGAAATGGGGTTGATACATTCTTAAGACACTTTTTAAGTAGAATATACTGCAGTTGAAAAATTTTAAATATACTTGATGATTTTTGAGATACAACACAAAGTTGTGTTTTTTTAAATACAAACTATACTTGATAATGATGTTACCGAAAAGAGCATACTTTTAGCTTTCCAATGATGTATCGCATTATGGTGTCTTTGCAGAAAATAAGCGTTAATTTTCAATTCTAAAATAGTAATCGCCAAATTATTCATAATTTTGATATAGTAGGCGGGTTCGGACAATAAATACTACCTAGTGGCTAGTATGCGACGAGTACCAGATTAAATTTTTTAAATTAAAAGTTCGTTGCAATAAAGTATTTTCAAACGCGCCATCGACGGCATCGACATCTGCGCCGATACTCGCAAATCAAAGTTTATCGCATAAATTCAAACTACCTAAGATCGAACTCAAGAAATTCGGCGGGGACATAAGAGAATGGTTAGCTTTCTGGAGCCAATTTAAAAACGTACACGAGGACGAGGATTTAGCACCGGAAGATAAATTTCAATATCTAATTTCGGCAATGATACCAAACTCGAGGGCCAAAGATTTAATAGACAGTTTTCCCCCGACCGCAGACAATTATGTCAAAGCAATTGAGACATTGGAAGCGCGTTTTGGAAGAAAAGACATGCTCGTGGAAGTCTATGTTAGGGAATTGCTTAAGTTAGTGCTCAATAACTCAATGGGTCACGGTGGAAAATGTGATATGGTAACACTGTATGAGTGATTAGAAACACAACTAAAAGCCTTGGAAACGCTGGGAATTACTACCGATACTTGTAAGGCCATGCTGTATCCGCTTGTCGAGTCCTGTTTACAAGAGGAATTGTTACGTGTCTGGCAAAGGACACCGGAACCCACAGATAAAGCAAGTAATTCGTCAAAGACTAGGCTCAATCACAGGGTGGGAGTGTAGCAAGATAGAAAGTTTGGAAGATCACATTGTGCCATTATTGGGATTAAATTGGAATACAAGACATGACACTCTAATGCTTTGTTATACACCTAAGACAACGAATGGCGTGATTACGAAGAGAATTGTTTTTTCTTACGCTCAGCGAATATTCGATCCAATTGGAGTAACCAGCCCCACAACTTTGTACCCTAAGCTGATGTTACAGAAAATGTGGAAAAATAAAATTGGATGGGATGAGGAGATAGATGATGAAACGAACAAAATGTTCATGAAATGGGTGAGCGAATTACCATTCATTTTTCGTATAGAGGTTCCCAGGTGGATAAGAATGGGGCCAAACGAGAACTGCAGGTCATCGCTACACACGTTCTGCGATGCTAGCGGTAGCGCTTATGCTGCGGCTGTCTTTTTGAGAGTTGAAACCTGTGAAGGGGTCAAAACATTTTTGTTACAAGCAAAGTCGGGAGTGGCGCCGATCAAGATGTCCACTCCTAGACTGGAATTGTTAGCGACTAAAATTTGTGCTCGACTTACTATAAGCGTGCAAGAAACCTTAAACGTCGTTAAGGATGTTTATTTCTGGACTGACTCTACCACGGTGCTTGGATGGATAAAACGTCGTGAAGAATGGTCAACTTTCGTGTGGAATAGGGTGAAGTAGATCAGGGAACTCACGGACGCAGAAGCATGGAAACATTTACCGGGTACGATTAACCCAGCGGATTTGCCATCTAGAGGTTGTTCTCCCAAACAATTGTTCGAATCGAAATGTTGGGAGGGCTAATAAGTGGCTAATGAAACCTCCAAATGAATGGCCTGGGATTAAACCAGACGACGATGAAGAAGAAATTAATGCTGAAAGAAAGAAAAACCAACGATGCAAGTCGTTTCTATCGATTTTTCTCAAATTATAGGAAAAATGTCCGAATAATTGCTCCATTAGAGTGCACGAGTCAAGAATCAGAAGAGCAACCACTTTCCTTATTGACGTTGGAACCAGCATCGGTTGAAGAAGATAGTGATAAGTGCGAGAGTGACGCTGTTCGGAAAACGCGATGTGGACGCGAGGTCAAATTACCTATGAGATGTTGTGAGTAAGTGTGAGACAGTGTCGGATAAATACTGTCTCAGGTGGGAGAATGTTGATGATTTGGGACGTTTAAGTTTTTATTTTTAAAAGAACGGGTTTTGCAATCCAAAACGCAAAATAATATAAATGTTCGTTAGCAACAATGTCATAGTATTTTCCCAGTTTTCCCCCAAACATGAGATTTAGAAGTTTTTTTGTCAGCAATTTTTCTTTTGAAATTGGGTGAGATACAGGCAAATTAGGGATCATAAACTGGGATTCAATGGGGATATGAAAACTTATGTATCATCTTGAAAGCGGACTCCAATATATGTATTCTATATTTAATTTTATCGTTTAATTTAAAGATAGAAAACTTCTTAAACGGGAAACTCGTTTCGTAAAATTCATGAATGAAATGACAAGTAAACTCACGTTACTCTAGTAACTAAGTAGCATTTAGCGTTTTCCTCGCCTACTATAATTAAAAATTAGAATTTTAATCTTTAATATTTTAGAATTGAAAAATAACGCTTATTTTCTGCAGATACATCATGCGTGTGATACATCATTGGAAAGCAAAAATATGCTCTGTTCAATAACATCATAATCAAGTATAACGCCATATAAAGAGATTTAATGCATTGAATATTTGTGCAGGCCCTAATTACAAAACCCAACCACTTTAGAGCCTTGGCGATAGTAAAGTCCACATGTAAATTGAACATCAACCTGCTGTCCAACAAAACCCCAAGATCATTAATGTGGTCATTCGAGATTAAAGTTCCAGCTAGTAATGTATACGAATTGTTTAGTGGATAACGTTTACGTGTGAAAGTAATTTTAGAACACTTATCATAGTTCAGGAACAGGCCGTTATCAGCGTAGATCCTCCTAAAGATTTTCAGAATCACGTTTGTTTGTAATATTAGAAAATATTTTGCAATCATCCGCATACAACAGGAATTTTGCATGTTTAAAACAAGAGAAATGTCATTAATATACGCCACAAATAGGATAGGGCCAAGATGGCTACCCTGCGAAACACCCGATGTGACAGGATTATAGGAGGATGCAACCTCACCAATCCTCACCGCCTGACAACGACCCGTTACGTACGATCCCAACCATGTCAAAAGACCTTGCCGTACATTAAAGTACCGCAAAGTACTTAATTTCTGCATCAAAATATTATGATCAATCTTATGAAAGGCTTTACTAAAATCGGTGTAAACCGCATCGACCTGATTGGAACAATTGAGGGAATTATGAATAAAATTAGTATAATAAACTAGGTTAGTTTCCACCGATTTACCCGGTAAAAAACCATGTTGTTCCGTAATCAGGCTAGGTTTCAAGAGGTAAAGTAAATAAGAATATATGATTTTTTCAAAAACTTTCGAAACCAATGACAAGATAGTAATCGGGCGGTGTTGTTGTGCTGTCTTATGTTTTGTTTTTGGCCACCAAACCAATGAGGCGTAGGCGACCATGGGTCTAATTATTGCTACGTAGGCTCAATGAGCCATTCGTGGTTTAAGACCCCAGTTCCTTCCTAGGAGCCTGCGGCAGATCTGGTTTGCCATGATGGCCTTTTTCCTCACCTTGTCTAAGTGTGAGTTCTGTTTTAACTTCTGTTTTGAGGTTAATAGTTTTGCTTTCAATTGAGGGTGCTTTTATTTGTAGCTTCCTTCTCCGAGTGAAAGTGAGTGAAGTACTGGTGAGTAGTAGGGCTTTCTGCATTAGTTGAATTATGATTGTATCATATTTACCTCGGATTGTGATTACCAGGCCATCAGCATACCCCTAAATCATGAATCCATTTTTTGTTAGGGTGTTCATTAAGTCCGAGAGTTGGACTTCTCGACGGTTTCTGATATTTTTCGGTCTATAACACCCCAAATATCATCTTCAATAGTGGAAAAAGAAGCAGCGCCAAAAACAATAGATGTAGACGTCGGTTGAGTTTAAGGTTTCAAGGTGATAAGTAGTCATTTAGTTCATTTATTATCGACATTTGCGCATTGTTAGCGTTGCTTTCTGAACTAATGCTGATTTTTTATATCGTGGATCAAGAAACGTAGCTTTTGCTGCTGTTCTATTAATCTCATAAACCCCAACTCGCGTCTCTATTATAACAGCAACAGTTCTTTGTAAGTGCTTGCCTGTCTGTGTCATTGGAGGTTTGCTATTTATGGTATGTCGTAGACCGAATACAAGAGGTATAACAGATAATAACAATGGATACTTTTCCCCGGATAAAATTTCAATTACCTTTTCAAACGGATGTAAGTACGCCATTACGTCTTCAGCAAATAACCACTCTTCAGAATCCAGATTCGGTGGAGGTGATACCAGTGTCGGTAAAGTAGCAAGCATATGAAAAGTACTGTTCCAGCGAGTGCGAACATCTTGCTTTAATTTGATTACATCCAAATTCATTTGCTTCTGCATGGTGACCAAGGCATATGAAGATTTTTTGCTATCTTTAAAATGTGATTACTTGCAATAACTGATTATTATTAGCGGTGGTATCTCCTAAATTAATTCTATCTTTTTCTAT